GTGTAAAAAAAATTTTTGGCCCCCCAAAAAAGGGGGGAAAAAATTTGGGGGGGGGGAAAAAAAGGGGGGGGGGGTATTAAAAAAAGAAAACTTTTTTTGGAAAAAATTTTGACCCCAAAAATAACCCCCCCCCCCTTTTTAAAAATTTTCCCCACCATAATTTTTTTTGGGGGCCCCAAAAAAAATTTTTTTTTTTTTTTTCCCCCCCCCCCATTAAAAAATTTTTTCCCCTTACCAATTTTGTTTTAAAAAAATTTTTTGGAAATGTTTTCCTCTTTTTGTCTGTATATTTACTTTTACATATGAAAATTACCCCTCTCTCATCTTTTAAGGGGAGAACTTGCAAATTTGGTGGTGACTAAAATTTTTTTTCCCCACGTATGTTGTAGAATAAAATGCCTATGCCTTAAATGCTTATGGATTAAGAACCCAAATTAAAGGGTTTTTAAAACAGAGCAGAACTTTTCTTTAGAAAAAACTGTGTTCTGATAATGGAGGGTTTCCTCTAACTCCCTGCAGTGGTCGGGTTGTAAAATGACGGAGGGGAGTGAAATTCTTTTGTGGTGTGTGGAGTTTGGGTAAAAACAATGGAACTGTGTTTTTATTTGTTTGTGTTATGCCCGACACACATACCCACATGCACATAACAAAAGGGAAAAACCACAGTGGCTCGGGTCCTTGGAGGAGGGCTTTTGGGAAAGGCTTAAATGTATTTTATGGAATGACATGTGAAAACCATTTTTAAAGTATTAATTGATATTTTTTTATAATCTGTTATGAAATGAAAAGGGGTTTTAAAAACAGAATAAAACATGTTGTACTTGTACCCCAGTGCATGCCTGGAAAGTAAAATAAGTCAATAAGAGGTGATTTTTCTTTAACGTAGTATGTATATCATTTTTGAGTCACGCACCAAAAATGAGCAAGAGACGGGGCCCCCATTTAGAGAACGCACGTACCCCTTGTAAGTAAAAACATGGGCCCTAAAGGAGTAACGGACATAAAATGGAGAAAAACTGTGAGGGTATAAATGACTATGTTTTGGGGTTGTATAAAAGGAGAGTTGGGTAGGGCAAGAGTTGTCCAGGGACCAGTCGGTTTTTTTACGTTTTAAAAAAGTCTATTCGAATCACAACTCCTTTTTTTGAGAGATGGTTTTGATTTAAATATTTTCCCAAAAATGGCGAGTTACCCAGGGTGACAGACAGGGACCAGAGCGGTGAACATGCAGTGGAACGATTTGGCGAATTTTAAAAACAAAGGGCCCACTAAAAAAAACGTAAAAAAAGGTTTTTTATTTATTAGTGAAATTTTGGTTTTTATCCAGGATCCTCAGCGAGTACACCAAGTAGGTTCCCCAAAATTTTTAAACTAGAAAACCAGAAAGGGGGGGTTTTAAATTCAAATGTGTAAATGACAAAGGGATAAAAAGCAGAGGGTTGAAATACATATAAAATTTTTAAGAGATCGTCTGTCGGGCGGGGGGGGGTTGTTGGGTTTGGGGTTTCTTTCGTTGTGGTGGGTTGGGGGTTTTTTTATCTGTCCTTTCGGGTCATTTGTTCAAATTCGATCGTTTCATTTGTTTCACCTGCTGATATCGCGGGGGCGCGGGGGGGCTGCCCAGGGTTTTGGGGATCAGAAAATAAATAAGAACCCTGCAAACCCGTTTTAGAGGGCGGCAAAAGGGGAAAAAAAAAACCCCTGTATAATCTGTTTTTCTGGTGGGGGGGGAAAAAGGGAAAAAGGGCGAATTTACGGGCGTAGGAAAAGCTTTTAGGGTGGGTGAAAGCTGCAAATGCTCTAGGTTTGAGGAAGGAATGTTTAGAGGGTTTGCATGGGGAAAAAACCCTGTAAAAAAAACCGTTTTCTTGGCGGGGAAGTGAATCAGGAAGGGGGTAAATTTTGGGGTAGCTTAGGAAGTGTATGGAAGGGGAGTGTGAAAATATTCCCCTTGGTGGGGAAAGGGGTTGGTGATTTTTTGGGGCCCGTTTTTTAAGGTAACCGGGTAGAGGGACGCCCCCGGGTCTGCACCGGGGGGGAAAAGGGAATGCTGTGTGATTAAAAAAAAAAAAACAAAAAAAAGTTGAAAAAGTTTTGTCTTGGTGGGGAAGATTGGGCACCCTTTTGGGCGTTGTTAAGTGTAACCGGGTGAGAGGGCGACCCGGGCTCACCCTAAGAGGGAGAGTGAAGGTGTGTGAAAGCCATTAAAACTAGGGGTAGAACACACCAAAAGTTTTGGGTTTTAAATTAAGAAAAATATAGCAAAAGGAAAAAAAATTTAGAGGGTTCCACACAAAAGAAAAGTGGACTAGGAAAGATAAGAGAAAACCCAACAATTTTAGATAACGATATTTATTGGTTGGGGGAAAAAGGAGAAATACGCAAAGGAAAAATTCATGAGGGGTTTCCCCACAAAAAAAAAAAGTGGACATGGAAAGATAAGAGAAAAAAAAACCCAAAAATTTATGAAACTAGATATTCAGGGGGTTTGGGGAAAAAAGGAAAAATACAAGGGGAAAATTCATGAGGGTTACACGAGAGAAAATGGACATCAGGAGATTTGGAAAAACCAAACACACATTTTAATAAATAAATTTTTGGAAAATAATCAAAGGCACGAACGATAAACATAAGAGAAAAGCAAATACCAAATAAAAAGGAATTAGGGAAAAAAAATAGGACGAATATTAAAAAAGATCTAAATAAAAAAATAAAATAAAATTTTTTTAAAAAAAATTTAAATTTAAAAAAGGGGTTAACTTGGGACTGAATTGGGGGGGTTAAAAAAAAGCCATAAACATAATAAAATGGCAAAAATTAGGGGA